TGTTAGTGTTTTGTCGCCTTTCCTTGCCTCTTCCATGCCCAATCCTCTCCTCTTAGACCTGTCTTCCTTAGGTTGGTTTTAATTGCTTTTGGGGGGCCACACTGAATGGTATAAGATCATCCTACCACATTCTAGTAATGTCCCGGGGAAGTTCCCTTTCCTGCTCTGGAACCAGAAGAGGGCCCCTGATTTCTGTGAACCCAGAGGCTTTTTTTTTTTTTTCAACAACAACAAAAACCAGGCCAGTTTGCTTAGGACATTTGTTTGATGCTGTGTGACCTTATTTGAACATACAGACTATATTCTTGGCAGGGGTCACAGAAAGCAACTATTTTAATAATGATCTCTTGTGTGCACTGTTGCATTCTTTTAAAGGTACATTTGCACGTTTTGTAATTATGTTAATATGTGTCTGGGTACAGGGGAGGCCTTGTGACTAGTTCCTGCTGTCCCTGTGAGATTAGTGTTCCTGGTTGTCATCACATCTAGTGGTCAGAAAAGATGGTGTTTTGTTGACAGGGCCTGAGAAGGATTTGTTTTCAGCTAAGGCAAGAAGCCGGGTGTTGGTGGCTCACACCTTTAATCCCAGCACTCGGGAGGCAGAGGCAGGCGGATCTCTGTGAGTTGGAGACCAGCCTGGTCTCCAGAGCGAGTGCCAGGATAGGCTCCAAAGCTACACAGAGAAACCCTGTCTCGAAAAATCACAAAAAAAGTGAAGGGTCAGCTAAGGCAAGAGCCTGCAACGAGGATTCCTTAGATGCTTAAAGCCAGCCTTGGGATTCGCCTAGCTCAGCCATCCACCCATCCACTAGTTTCCTTTTTTTTTTTTTTTTTCTCAGCTTCAGTATTTCATGCCCAGAATATAACTCTTGACACCTTGCTTGAGCCATACTTCTGTCTTCTTAAGCCTGTGTGCTGGACTCCAGGAAAAGCCCCAAAGCGGCCATAAAGTGCTAGTGTCATGGTATGTCACAATCCCTGACTTATTTGTATTGGGAGTATGGCCTCATTCAGGCCATTTGGTCCCACTGAGTCTTCTGCCTTATAAGTCCTTGTAGCAGTGTAACCAGGTCTAGGGTCAGGTAAAGTATGCTTAGGACTTAGTCTCTCTCTGTCTCTCTCTCTCTCTGTGTGTGTTGTTCAGACATTAGTTGTTTTAGCCTTTATCTCCTATCCCCAGGGAGGATATCACAGATTCATGCACAAAAAGTAAAGGTCTAGGATTTTCCACTCTTTTTACACTCCTAGTTATTATCAATATTTCATCCTGAAGTTTAAAATTATGCTAAATTCATGCACTAATCCCTAAAGTGGGACTACCATATGCTACCAAGTACTACTGCTTACAAAACTATACACATCTCAAACTGGAAGACATTGGTGATTTTGTTGTTCTTAAGCAACTTGTAACACTTGTCCGCAAGTATTAAAACACACACACACACACACACACACACACACACACACACACACACACACACACACACACACAAAAGAAACCACAGATCCCATTTTTGTTTAGTAACTTCAAAAGAAAAACTGCCAGCTCCCATGGAGAAGGGAGGAGACAGGGCCACATGTGGAAGCCCAGCCCTAAAATGGTAGTTTTTGCTGATATTAAGAAGAAAACCAGGGCTGGAGAGATGGCTCAGTGGTTAAGAGTGCTGCCTGCTCTTCCAAAAGTCCTGAGTTCAATTCCCAGCAACCACAAGGTGGCTCACAACCATCTGTAGTGAAATCTGGTGCCCTCTTCTCGCCTGCAGACATACATGCAGGCAGAACACTGTGCATATAATAAATAAATAAATCTTTAAAAAAAAAAAGAAGAAAACCCAAGCAAGACTATAAAATGAAAATGTACCCTACACCAGGCAACTACAGCTGGAACATCCCCAGGCTATGAAATGCCATCTGGTGCTAACAATGCAGGGCACAGGTGTAGGGAGACACCATAACCACGCCTCCCAAGGGCTGGCTACAGGTGTGCCTGACCAGGCCTGTCAGGGCGTGGTCAAGGTGAGGTCAGGATGACGCCGGATAGGTTTTTAAGGGGCTGCAAGGCACATGGGACCCCTTCTCCCTGGCCTGTCTGCTGTGCTGCCCCTGGCACTCTCTGGCTTGCTTTTGGCTGGTGTTTATTTGAATTAAGATATCTTAACCTTACAGACTACGGATTGGTTTTCAGCTCTATTAATACACAGGAGCATCTTTGACAAAGGGAACTCAACACTCAAGGTTTAAGCTACAAACGTGACGCATTTGGAGCAAAAGGTGACACCTCCTTGGTGGTGACAGCCCTGCCCAAGGTCCTTACCCCATAAAATTGCCCAATGTAAGGTGCAGGAACAGTCACCAGCTGGCTTCCATTGTCTTCTAAATGAAAATATAAGTGGCTGGGGGACTTAAAGAGGAAAATTTGGGTTATATTTTTGTTGCATTTTGAGACAAGTCTGTCATTCAGCCTGGCTTTGATCTTGTGGCCAATGCTCCTGCCTCAGACTCCAAAATGCAGTGGTTTCAGGTGTGGGGTATCAAGCCCAGCAATTTAGGTTAAATTTAACCCTTATTTCTCTAGTGTTGTATCATTATTTGCTCCCATTAAAAGGTTATTTATAATAAGTACTTAAGTAAAAACCTTCAAGTATAAAGTCAGATTTGTTGCCCAATCTGACCAAACCATTAAAATATTCAAATTTCCTAATTTTGATCCTTTCTATGACTCAAATTCACAGCACTGGGAAATGGTTCCAGAAATCAGCTCCAACAGCACCTGTTCCTAACTCATCCAGCAAGCTTAAAATTCCTTCTCTACTGGCAACCATCTCTCTTTTTTAAAATTAAGGTTTATTTATCATGTAGACAGTGTTCTGCTTGCGTATATGCCTACATATGAGAAGAGGGCACCAGATCTCATTATGGATGGCTGTGAGCCACCATGTGGTTGCTGGGAACCGAACTCAGGACCTCTGGAAGAGCAGTCGGTGCTCTTAACCTCTGAGCCATCTCTCCAGCCCCTCCCTTCCTGATTTTTATTTTAGTTTTTATGTCTATAAGTAAAAATCTAGAATTCTATTGACAGTGGTGAGCAGATTGCTTAGAAATAGTTCTGCACGAGACCTGGGTATTGTGGGTACATGGTTGTACTCAGACAGCCTCCTTTATTCTCCTGTGCCTGAGTGCACCATGTCTGGGGTCTCACTATGTGGACATCTGTTTTGTTGATGTCCTCTACTTTTCCTCAGGTATTACTGTCCTCTTCTGGGTACCTTGTTATTCTTGCCGTCTCTGCTGAGTTCTTGGCTAGACACAGTTGCATTTCTGTGGAGGCCTGGGAAGATGCTACCCAAAGAGAGGGCACTGGCCTCCCCTAGAGGCTCTCCACCTCACCCAGAACTACCTACTTTGCGGCTGGAAGATAGATTCCAACAGGAAGAGCCTAGCCAGCAGGAGGAACCCAACCAGGGGGAAATACTCATTAAACAACAAGAACCTAGCCAGCAGGATGAATCCATGCAGGAAGAAGAACCCATCCAGCTGCTAGAACCTACTCAGAGGGATGAGCCCAACCAGGGAGAAGAATCCAGTCAGCAGGATAATCTTCCCAACCTGAGGGAAGAACTCAGTGAGCAGCAAGAACCCAGCCAGTGGGAAGGACCTGGCCAGGAGGATGTACCCATGGAGCAGGAAGAACCAATGCAGCAGGATGAGCCTTGCCTGTGGGAAGAACCCATGCAGCAAGATGAACCCATGCAGCAAGATGAACCCATGCAGCAGGAAGAGCCCATGCAGCAGGACAAACCCATCCAACAGGAAGAACTCATCCAGCAGGAGCCAGTTCCGCAGGATAAGCCTACCCAACAAGAAGAACTCATCCAGCAGGAGGAATCCATTCAGCAAGATAAGTCCATCTGCCAGGAAGAATTCATCCAGCAGGAGGAACTCATCCACCAGGAGGAACCTATCCAACAAGAAGAACCCATCCACCATGAGGAATGTATCCAACAGGAAGAACCCATCCACCAGGAGGAACCAATCCAACAAGAAGAACCCATCCACCAGGAGGAACCAATCCAACAAGAAAAACCCATCCACCAGGAGGAACCTATCCAACAGGAAGAACCCAGCCACCAGGAGGAACCTATCCAACAAGCAAAACCCATCCACCATGAGGAACCTATCCAACAAGAAAAACCCACCCACCAGGAGGAACCTATCGAACAAGAAGAACCCATCCACCATGAGGAACCTATCCAACAGGAAGAACCCATCCACCAGGAGGAACCTATCCAACAAGAAGAACCCATCCACCAGGAGGAACCTATCCAACAAGAAAAACCCATCCACCATGAGGAACCAATTCAACAAGAAGGACCCATCCACCATGAGGAACCAATCCATCAAGAAAAACCCATCCACCATGAGGAACCTATCCAACAAGAAGGACCCATCCACCATGAGGAACCAATTCAACAAGAAGGACCCATCCACCATGAGGAACCAATCCATCAAGAAGGACCCATCCACCATGAGGAACCAATCCATCAAGAAGAACCCAGCCACCAGGAGGAACCTATCCAACAAGAAGAACCCATCCACCAGGAAGAACCCATCCACCAGGAGGAACCAATCCATCAAGAAGAACCCATCCACCATGAGGAACCTATCCAACAAGAAGAACCCATCCACCAGGAAGAACCAATCCAACAGGAAGAACCCATCCACCAGGAGGAACCAATCCATCAAGAAGAACCCATCCACCAGGAAGAACCAATCCAACAGGAAGAACCCATCCACCAGGAGGAACCTATCCAACAAGAAGAACCCATCCACCAGGAAGAACCAATCCAACAGGAAGAACCCATCCACCAGGAGGAACCTATCCAACAAGAAAAACCCATCCACCATGAGGAACCAATTCAACAAGAAGGACCCATCCACCATGAGGAACCAATCCATCAAGAAAAACCCATCCACCATGAGGAACCTATCCAACAAGAAGGACCCATCCACCATGAGGAACCAATTCAACAAGAAGGACCCATCCACCATGAGGAACCAATCCATCAAGAAGAACCCAGCCACCAGGAGGAACCTATCCAACAAGAAGAACCCATCCACCAGGAAGAACCCATCCACCAGGAGGAACCAATCCATCAAGAAGAACCCATCCACCATGAGGAACCTATCCAACAAGAAGAACCCATCCACCAGGAGGAACCTATCCAACAAGAAGAACCTATGCAGGAGGAGCCCATTCAGCAGGATGCTTCCATCCAACAGGAACTCATCCAGCCCAAAGAGTCAATTCAGCAAGAGCTGACCCTGCAGGAGGATGCCATTCAGCAGAATAAGTCCATCCAAAAGGAAGAATTTATCCAGCAGGAGGAGCTCATTCATCAGGATTCTTCCATTCACCAGGAACTCATTCAGCAAGAGGAGTCCATTCAGCAGGATATGTCCATCCAAAAGATAGATTTCATTCAGCAAGAGAAGCCCAGCCAGCAGGAGGAAGCCAACCAACAGAAAGATCCTACTCAAAAGGATCAACCCAGCCAACAAGAAGAGCCCAGCTATCAGAAAGAACCTAACCAGCAGGAAGAACCCAGTCAACAGGAAGAGCCTAGCCAACAGGAAGAGCCTAGCCAACAAGAATTGCCTAGCCAACAGAAAGAGCTTAGCCAACAGGAAGAACCTAGCCAGCAGGAAGAACCTAGCCAACAGGAAGAGCCTAGCCAGCAGGAGGAACCCAGCCAACAGGAAGAGCCTAGCCAACAGGAAGAACTCAGCCAACAGGAAGAGCCTAGCCAACAGGAAGAACTCAGCCAACAGGAAGAGACTAGCCAAAATGATCAACCCAACCAACAGGACAAATCCAGCCAACAGGAAGAACCTAGCCAGCTGAAGGAAACAGAAACTATCACTGAGAGATCTGCTGCTGACCTTGAGATTTCCCGCCTGCGCTTTCGGGAGTTTGTCTACCAGGAGACAGCTGGGCCTCACCAGACTCTGGCGAGGCTTCATGAGCTATGCTGCCAGTGGCTGGGGGCTGAGGCTCACTCCAAAGAGCAGATCCTGGAGCTGCTGGTTCTGGAGCAGTTCCTGGGCATCCTGCCAGACAGGGTTCGTCCCTGGGTGGTAGCCCAGTATCCTGAAAACTGCAAGAAGGCTGCCTCCCTGGTGGAGGGTCTCTCTGACATCCTGGAGGAGCCAGGTGAGGCCACCACCCCAGAAGAAAGCATGCCTTAGAGGAGACGGGCAGGAGGTCCTGGAAGGATTGGAATCTGAACATAGAGTTCAGACCCCAGCCGTGGCTTTCCTGAGAGTGTAGTCACCCCATGTGTTAAGGGGCACAGAAAAAAAAAATCCCTGAGCTGGTAAGGGAGCTCCTCAGGCACCAGGGAGCCGAGCCCCCACCTCTCTGCCCAGTGGCATCTCCGTCAGGCTTATCTCATGGACTAGGACCGCTGCCTTGGGTTCCTGCCCTCACATTTGCTTTCCAGATCTTAGGAAGGAGGAGGAATGGAGGGTAGTCAAAGGCAGGTACCAGGCTCTTAAAAACTAGGTAACTATTCTGGGTGCATTGGTAGCTGGAGTTTTCCTCCAGGTAAAAGGGTGGGGCCTGAGAGGTGATGGTGTCTGGGAGCCCAGGGGCTTGGGTCATGAACCTTGGGTTCATACCTGGCCCATTGCGGATTTGCTGTGTGGTGAGGCTGTTAGCGTGTGTCTCAACCTATTGGAGACACTGTTGCCTCGATTGTACACAGGGATTATGCTGTGTTCCCTGGGTGGATCATCGTCTTCATTCAGCGAGGGCGACAATGAGAGGTGTCCTGAGCCCCTGCTGCTACCAAGTGGGTTGTTGAGTCCCAGCAGAAACCTAAGACCTAGGGACACCCTTGTACGCCATGATACTTGTAAGTAGCAGCAGTCCTGTAGCCTTGGCTGGCCTCCACTGAGCAGACGGACAGAGTCTGTGGTTGGGAAAGGGAGGGTCTGGTAGAGGCAGGTGGAGAGCCACGGGAGGCCAGGTAGCAAGGCAATGATGTCTACTGTACTTGGGACTTACTTCTGTAGATCATTGTGTATGCTAGACGTGTTATCATTTTTTTTTTTTTTTTGTGCTCAATTTGTCTTGCAAATGAGAAATACTTTCATTGTAGATATAATTCAGTGCCGGTATAGGACGGTGCCCATTAGCAGCCTGAGGCTCGGAGTTAAAATCTTAGTACTGCCCCCAATTTTTTTTTCTCCTTACCCCATCCTGGAGGGTGTCTTTTCTTGTCTTTTTCTCCATCACATCTGTAAGACTATGGTGTACTTGTGCCCTCTCATTTTCTTTTTTTTTTTTTTTTTAA